AAGTAACTGGTAGCTCAAATTCCTAAAGTTTCCTTGTATCTATTCAACGTAATAAACTTCTTCCTTTAATCTTGGATGATGAATAGCACCTTAATCACAGGTTACACAAATGGGCACCATTTCTTTATGGTGCTTGACTTCAATTCCTTTTCCTTTTGCCACCCTAGGCTTATTGACATCCATGGTTCATGATTTTTTGTTTCTTTCAAATGCAAAGACCGCTGTGGGGTGAGATCCTTTGAGATGAACCCAACCTCATTGCATATCAGAGGAAAAGTATGTTCACCTCTAAGAATTGAGGGGCACGGACAATAAAGTGAGTTCCTTCATTTATTTATTAGTAACCAGAGCAATCGTCCCCTGCCAGCTCCTCTCCCAGCTCCTAATCATGTGCTCTTTGGAGCTAAGAAGGCTTCTTTGAACATTCTTTCCTAGTGATGGAGGTGGTCGTTTTTCTCCTTCCTTCTCCTTATTCTCTCCCAAATCCAGAGTATTTCTTTCCATAATTTAGATGAGTTCTACCTCAGAAATTTCTGTCAGAGAAGCAGGCTGACACCCTGCAGTGCTACTCTGTATTTAGTAATGTAGAAGTGGTAAGTGACCATACCAGGAGAACAATATGCTTTGTGATTAGTTTACCATAGAAGAGGTGGAGGCGCTCTCTCCTGTATAAAGCTAATCTCTTCATCTGAGCTTTGGCACCTCTCCTCTTTTGCCTTCTAGGAACCCACACGCCATTATACCTATTTTCTTCTGGTTACTTAAATCCTTTATCACCTGAATCCTTTCCCACCATCATTTCAACATGCTTTACTTTCACCCAGTTTAATCCAAACAAAGCAAAAAAAAAAAAACCCGCTTTTGATCTATGCATCTTTACTGCCTTATCCTTTTTTCACCTACAAAATCAAACTTACTTTGCACGTCCATCACCTCTGCTATATTGTGGCCTCTGGTGTCACTACCCCCAAACAGCTGTGGATAAGGTCACGAAATCCAAGACATTTTTTCCTGTTCTCATCTCACTTGATGAGTAAGTACTGATCTTAGCAAAGACTTGACACTGTTGAATACTCCCTACTTCTTTCCAGAAATACTCCGTCAGCTCTCCTTACTCTTAACTCTCTTGTTGACCCTTTCTCTCTTTGCAAATTCACTTTCCTCCCCAGGGCATTCATTAACCTCAAGCCTTACTCTGAGGCCTTCTCGCCTCCATTCTATGCTTGGTCCTAGCTATTCCATTCAAACCAACAGCTTCATTTATAGTGACAACTCCTGAATGAATATTTCTAGGACAGACTTCTCTGGCTTAACCCAAAATGGGGTTGATTTGCTTCCAATATATCTATATTGAATTCTAAACTTTCCCATAGGTGAAAAATCATTGCCATCTGTCCCTCCCAACTCTAAATAACAGTAAAATAACAGAAAACACTATCCTCCCTTTCTAACCTGCCTCAAATCCTGTTGATTCTACCTCCTTAAAAAAAAAAAACTTCTCGAGGCTTCCCTTTTCTCATCTCCATTGTCACCACCCTACTCAAAAAGTCTGTTAATGTAAACTGTTAGTTCAAGAGAGCCTTTTTATGTCCAAAATAAAATTTAGCACTAAAGAGGGCTAGTTATAGTTATTTGGGTTTAAAATAACATTTATTAACACAACTTTTAAAACCTGGTGTTCCATAAGTCATTAGTTTCAATTTACAAAATTTGCTATTCTTTCTTCAGATAATCTGGACATATATAAATCTAAACATCATTTTGATATTTAGTCTGTAAGCCTATTATTATACCCCTGAAAGCAAAGAGCATAGCACAGTGCCTGGAACACAAAAATGAATAGTAATGATTAGTAAGTAGTAAAAAATGAATAGTAAATGAATAATTGTTCAAAGTTAGTTTCTTGTCTCTGTTATATTCTCCCAACTTCCTCTAAATAAAAATTAAAGCTTCCCATTTTGATAATTCGGTGTTACTCCTAATTACACTCTGTAAGATTTCACTCTATGTATTTAGGTTTCTAATCCATTCCGATGTACACAATATGGATGATAGCTTTGGCTATTAAGAAAATGAAGGCAAGAGTAAATATGGGCAGAATTCCTAACATGTCCATAAACTGTGATTTGTAGTGATAATCTGATAGGAAGGGCTAATCCGTTTTCCTTCTTGAATGGAAGATTTAAGAAAAAACAATCTCTAAGATTCCTAATTCTTGCAGAAGAAAACCCCTTCTCTTTGATACTCCAGGTCCATAGAGCCAAGCAAATCAGATTTTTTCCTGTTCTTCACTTTTTGGGGGGAAGAAAGGGTTATCTGGGAAATACTGAACTTCCCTTTCCCTAAAAGTAGGCCAGAATAAATAAACTTTAAATGCAATAATATTGAATGCTTTAAACCAACTGTTAAAAACAAATCCAAAATGGAGTCACTTATGCTAAGCCCAATGTTACCAAACCTAATTACACTTTTGGGCTTTCCCAGAAATAGAATATTAAACTAGCTAATCAGGAACTGCTTGGTCAGCACTAGTGATGTAATCTGCCTGATAGACCCCCTACAATACCCTAAAACAAAGTGACCTTACCACACCCAGTCTACTTTTGCTAGTGTAACTTCCTTTTCCTACCTTCTTCTGCCTACACAAGTCTTTCTTTTTGTATAGTTTCTGGGAGCTCCTTTTTACCTGCTAAGTGGGATGCTGCCCAATGCGTGATCGTTGAATAAAGCCAATAAGATCTTTACATTTTAGTCAGTTCAGTCTTTTTTTTAACGTAGCTAATCTAAATTTCATTAAAAAAAAGTCATTATCTGTTTAAGATGAATACTGAAAAGGTGACTGACATGATTTGGGGGGTTTGCTTTAAAATATTCCAGTAAAGAAAAAAAATGGGGGGTGGTGGTGAAGACAGATGAAACAAGAATGAAAAATGTTGGTAATTTTTGAAATTCTAGTTCATTATATTTTTCTTTGAGTTTTTCTACAATAAAAAGCTTAAAATTTTTGGCTTTTTCTATTTTTCACTCTCTGAACTCCCTTTTGCCTACTAAATTGAGACAGGTCCTGGTCATAGGAGGAGAAAAACTGCACAACCAGGCCTTCAGCAAACCTCTGCCTGTCCTCTTGTGACTACACTAAATCCTCAGGGGAGGCTTTAATCTTTGTTAGACAGGTTTCACCCACTATCCGAAATCAGAGCGTTCCTATGAAAGCTCCTGGAAGCCAAAATGGCATAAAGTGAGGAAGCAATTACCCTACAACACGTCTTGTTAGGGAGGTAAAACACAGATGCTCAAGGATACAGTTCAAAGCTATGGCAGGGAGATGCTGAGTATATTCTCCCAGGAGAGCGCTTGGTGGTGCCACCGCAGCCTCTGTCACGGCTGCTGCAAAACAAGCGCTGAATGCTATTTCCAATGTTCACTTTTTCCCATAAAAGTGAAAATCACATTTCTTTCCACAGTGGAAACAGTTACTAATACGGGTCCTTCTTGAAAGCGAAGTGGCCTAGAGTGAACTTTTCAACACCGGGAGAATACCTGTATACGTTACTAACATATAATTATCTAAATATTTCATTTTAAAACAAAAAATTTGGCCTTCCGCACATAACTCAAGCTGGGGGGGGGAGCATTTTTAAACCTCCGCCGGTATTATTATCCCAACCTCTTTTTATAATCAGAGTATTACAATTCTTTCCAGAAACGGCCCTTTTTTTTTTCGCCCCTCACACCACAAGATTGAGGGGGAAGTGCGGCGCGTCGGCAGAACGGCGTTCCAGGGCTCCGCTCTCCCCAGAGCAGAAAACCTTGTTCTCTTCAGGCCTCAGTTTCCACCAGGTGAAAGAACAGCCAGTCGGTCGTACCGGCTCCGGGCCCCTCCCGGCCGCGGGCAGCCCCGCCCCGAGGGCGGAGACCGGGCGGGGCAGCGAG